GAAGGGTTTAAAAGAAGGAAATAGAAGGGTTTAAAAGAATTAGATAGGCAAAGACACCTAACGTTTATTAATCTACTAAGCAGGCACTGTTAGGGACTAGGAATATGGGAGCTCCATTCCCGACACTGGCCAGGCCCTTAGGGCTCTTGAAAGAAAAGTTTGTCTTGTTTTCAGCTTTCCGGACCATCTACCGTCAAAAAGGCAAAGGCCACCCAACGGAGGGGCCCACAGTCAAGGTTTTACATGGACCGCTCATGTTCCCTCCCATCAACAGATATCTGCTATGACACAGCATTGGAACAGCCTCCTCAAAAATTAATTTACAAAGATTTATAACCTTACCTTGTCACCTCCTCCTTAGCTTGGTCATTGTTATGGACTGAATTGTGCTCCCCCCACATTCATAGATTGAAACCCTACCTGCCCAGTGTGACTGTATTGAGAGACAGGGCCTTCAGGAAGGTAGTTAAGGTTAAATGAGGTCAGAAGGATGGGTCCCTGATCCAATAGGACTGGTGTCCCTATAAGGAGAGGAAGAGACACTAGGAGTGCACGTGCATGCGTGCGCACGCACACACACGCGCGCGCACACACACACACACACACACACACACAGAGACAGAGACAAACAAAGAGAGAAAAGGCCCAATCAGGACACAGAAGGCGGCTGGCTATAAGCCAGGAAGAGGGCTCTCCCCTGCAACTGAATTGAGGGCACCTTGATCATGGACTTCCAGCCTCCAGAATTGTGCGAAAGTAAATTTCAGTTGTTTAAGCCTGTGGGATTTTGTTAGGGCGGCTGAGCAGACTAACACAGCCACTGGATGTGGCCATGCCTAGACAAGGGTCAGCTCTTGGTTGCTTCTTAGGTAACAAAAGGGGCGGTGAGCTATATAAGCCTATTTTGAAAATTTGAGATTCTGCCCTGGCCATTCTTGGGCATGATGCTTCTTTCCATTAAAAGCAACATCAGGCCCGGCTGGTGCCTGCCCTTTGGGTGGCAGCCCAGCCAAAGAGGGACCAAAGAAATTCAAAGTCGATTCTGGTTCTGTCCCCTGGATTTTCCTGTTGGCTTGAGAAGGTCCTAGATCAAAAGATAATGGTCACGTGGTTGAAAGC